CATCCGTAACGTTCGAAAAATGCACCTACAATACCAACCGACAATAACATCATAATATTATAACATTACGCTATTGTTTTATCACAGGTACCTATTCACATATTTTGTAAGCTATTAGGACATTAAATTCTACGCATTCGTACAAGTTTTAGTGCAGGAACTATATATGTACGTTTCCCGTTGTACTTATCTGTCGGTGGACAACAGTCACGTGCGCGTTTGACACGTACGTCGGATTCAAACAAGTTCAACACAACAAACTTATAATACGCCTGTAATCCGGTCGATTTGGATTTTTAGCCCTGGAAAAATGTGTGTCTTGGACCTCACGCGTTAGAGGATTCAAGAATAAAACTATACTAGCTAGGCGACTGGCGAGGGTACACACCCCGAATCCCACCACAGCCGCCTCGACCGTTGCTCAAGTGTTTTAGAATTTGGCGATTCCCACGGGTCCGGTATTATTATTACATAATATAATATATGGCGGTCGATTTATTTTGTGGAGCGGGTAGACAGTGACTGATATTCCAAGACCTCTATATACCGTTTTGCTTAGACTGCGCATCCTACCCCATATACTTCATGGCGTTTTGTTCGTATATACCGGAGTACCTTGATATTAATATTATAATATTATTATAGTAGGTACTTATTGTGCTGTTGTGCTGGCTGGCTCATCCTTACGATTGAATAACGATTCGCGTTCCCCGTACAGCGAGGATATAAGTTTTAATGATGATTTTTTTCTTACTACCGTTTACCATACATTACTTATAGGTACACTTGGCGTATGACATTCAACATGTGAAAAATGATGTCATCTCTTGATCATAATATTCTCATAGATGTATAATACTGTGCTTTTTCTAATATTAATTATCTAAGGCAATCAGGTTTTTATTGTCATTGAAATATAACTATTGTAAGTGTGTTAGTGTTTCCAAGGATTTGTTCCATAAGCACTTGTACCTAAATCGTTCTATTGACACAATAAGTGTCAATAATGGTTTTCCGGTCCGAAGTGTCCGACCCAACCGCTGTGCGTACACTTTTAAAACACAAAATGGTCTTGGAAAATATTTGTAAAGTTCATTGTGTATGTGCTTTGAATAATCGTCTAGATACGTCCCCGATTAGAAATATTAATTCGCTTTGGGCTTACTAAACGTCGTAACTATTCAGAACTACAAGTAAAACTATTAGAATCGTTTTGTTTTCAAACTTTACATTAGGTACCAGCTAATATCTACTCATTGATTGATACGGATAAACATTTAATATCTATCACGTGATATTTGTTTATACATTTTTTGTTACAACACATAATAATTATTAAATATTCTTATAAACGTATGAGGAACTTAATATGTAAATTTTGGGAATCGGGAATAAATTCACTTATGTTGTTATAAACATAATATTATGATTATTATTATTATTTTGTCAATCACATACAAAAAGTGTTGTTGTTTACTTAATTACTTTTAGCAACTAAAACTACGTCTAACATTAAAAACGACGAAATTGGTTAATCAATTTTGTTTATAAGACCTTATGGCGCAAATTATATTTCGTATATTTTAAATTATATATTTTCAATGTTATGTAAATAATCCTTAGTTATTATCATGATATCCTCTTTAATTATGGCTGGTCAAAATTAAAAATTAAATTAATGAAAAAAATAATTATGGCCAAACAATATAATCGAATTATTTAAAAAAATATTATATAAATCACTAAAACATTGCATTATTAAGGTTTTGTATTTTCTGTTATTTATTTGTTTTTAATCATTTGAAAATGTAATATACAAATTAAGAGCTGCCTAGTTTTACTTAAATGATATACAGTATTTTTAATACAAAGTTACATTTTAATTCAGAAAGTATTAACAATTTAAGCCTCGTTTGGCAATATTTGTTACAAAACTAAATATTCATCATTTAACGTAATATCTATCATATATTATATAATATCGTTTATACTATTAAGCTATTATAGTAGCTGCTTATTATTGATGGAAAATGCATGTAAGTTTCACTTACGTTCATCTAGCATGTGCCTTTAATATATGCGATGAACAGACTCGGTTGGAGTCGTTGTAGGTACTACAGAATAAATACGAAACTTGTCGACCTCAGTGTTACATTAAAATAAAGATGAGATTAGAAAAAGGAAATTTCTCCAAAATTGGTCTTTAGGCCCACCAAAAAAATATAAGCCTAATACGTTGAATGTTATTAATATAATATAATAATATTGGCAGTTCAAGGTTATCAGGTATATAATATATATTAGGTAGATTGTTTCTACCTTTAAAGATCTTTATAGTATTTTTTTGTTTTTTTAATTGTTACATATAATTTATATATTGAGTTGTTCGCATAAAATCTTGAGGAAAATATATATGGCATGTTCAGTGTAAGTATATTACATTTTTTATACAACAATATGAGTTTAATAGATGGTATTATAACATTTTGTTTTTGATCTCCAGTGAAAATAATTCTGACGTTACTAAAAAACCATTAGTATCATATTAATTTAAAATTATTATGGAATACATTTATTCTGTCGTTAGAACTCTTCAAGGTACCAATATTAATATAATGATGATAATGTAAAACAATTCAATTTTACCATTTGGCATTTAACAAAATGTCTTGGTAATATGAAATAGTGTATTAATAGGAATGAATTAAAATAAGTCCTGATGTTTGCCCTTTGAACATATTTTTTTATTTAAATCATAAGAATACAGATCAACCTTATAATAAAAAATGAAAATGAAGAAAAATAGAAATATACATAGGTGTATATAGTATATACATATAAATATAAAAATATTTATAGGGGAAATAGTATCCCATATTAAATGCAAATAAGTATTCCATATTATCATCGTCTTGATTATCATAATTTTGATTGATTTATAAAGTATTACGTATTTACGTGTAAAGAGTATGTGGTACTACCTGTAGTGAGTGATATCTCCGTTTTGCTTGGTAACGCATAAATCCATTTTATTAAGTTATTATTTTTATTGGAGTGACCTGAGCTGTTTTTAAATTTAAAGGTCAAAATATTATCCAGTATCCCCCTTGGGTTATTTTGATATTTTAATTTCAAAATATGTTATGACCATTTAAAAAAAATATATTTTTTTTTGTAAATAATGTTTATTATTATAATTTTAAAGTAATTTTTAATTTTTAATTTAAATTATTAAACCAACGCACTTACATGCGTACATAGGTACGATGAATATTCTATTGTTATAATACATTTTATAGTATTTATGCGAACAACGCACAGTATAATGAAAAAACTTTTTTATTAAGTACATAGTTATTCAACTATCCATATCCATATTACCCTATTATTATGTTTTGGAAAAAATATGCAAATCCTGACGTTATCCGAACAATATTATAAATTAATACTCATATATTTCTACAGTAAGTAACAGCACACTGAGCGCACCTACATGACGTTTCAATGTGATATAGGTACTAGGTAGGTAATTCACCATGCGAATTCACTAGTCTGAGTTGAATTTCTAAGTGGTGATTACGAGTGCTCTAGCTCGTGTGATGAATTCGACCAGTAGGTTCTCACAGTGTACAAATGTAGGACAAAAATGCCAACACGATTATAATTTTTAGAATTCCGTTTTGTGCCGGAGAACAACAACGGTTACACGTCTTAGTTGGAATCGCGACAAAAATAACAGTTTAACGTTCATTGGCAAAATTGCAAGGAATAACTATATATTATTTTGTTGGTATATGAGCCGAGTTAAAATCAAAATATTAAACATCCTTGTTGGTACACGTAGCTGCATACTTAGAAGAATATATATTATATACAATATACATATATTATAATGTTATAATAAATGCCTTAACATTTTAATAATTTATTCAAGTTTTAGATTCAAATGTTTAAGGCAAAAAAAAATCTGAATATAAATATATAAATGTGTGTAAAAATATAATGAATTAAAAGCATATTATCTAGGTAGTGTCTTTGTAGAAAATAAAATAGGTTATCTATCGGAAGACTTAACTGAATACACTTCCAAATATTAAAACATCTTGATCTGTATTGATATAATTTTACTGTTGAACTTTAAGATGGCAATACATTTATATTTTAAATAACAAGGTATTACCGTAATTTGTATTCATTTTCTGAAAATATTATTTTTTTGTACCTATGTAACTTTTTAATTAAAAAATAATTTTATTTATTTATTTGCAACTTACAATTTAATATATACCTAACAAATGCAAAATGAAAAATGAATACTACCTTATTTAAAGTATCAAAATAAAAAATATACTGTACTTGAAGCGCAAATGTCTATAAATAATTTAGGTATATCATTTTTAAATATTGTTTACTAAAAAAGCTATTTAATTTGTCATGTAATTTTGTTACACCATCTTTATTATGAATATATACGGCTTACGGGTAACATGGTATATAGGCATACATATATGAAAAAGGTACAATTATCAAAAACTATATGATAAATTATAGGTCTGTAAAGCTTAAACATATTTGAGTTCGACATTTAAATTTTAAACCATCATATAAACAAATTCTCCAAAACAAATTTTTCCATTTAAGATTTATCATAACATTTTTATTTAAAATTCCACAAAGTATACATCTAAAAGTTTGACATAATTAGAATATCATTTAGTCAACATAACTACAATATTTAATAAATTAATTCAAACTTTTAAGAACTCTAGTGTATCATTTAAACATTGACGTTGTTATTTTATACATTATTGTTACATACTAGACCTAGATTGTGAAATTGAACTTAATATTGAATCGAATAGTAAATAGATACATTTATATTGTTGATAATTTGGTATTTGATAGTAAATTCCAATCAGATACAATATTATGGAAAGTCTTATTCTAACTTTTAAGATCTCTTTAAACTTATCTATAATACAAATTTATTTTTGTTTTAGATGTATTTAATACTGTTCTCAATTTTGGGGGTTCAGTTGGCCTTATCTCAGCAAACTAACCCAAATGATTTGGAAGTGGTGCTTAACATCGAAGACAGCAATAAAACTCAATACCATGAACAAAATTTCGATACCAGTATGTATTTTTCAGCCATATATTACTAGAATATATTTTACATCAACTTTTTTTCATTTGATAGTGGCCTATATATTCGGCTACGAAGTAGGTCCAAATGGTCAATTCCATCACGAAAATAAAGGTCCGGATGGATTCACATATGGTTGCTACGGATATGTAGATCCAGAAGGAAAATTACAAGCTACTCATTATATATCCGATGGCTGGGGATACAGAGTTGTCACACCAGGTGAATCTGTAGAAATATTCCATCATAAACATGACCCCTCAGATGAAAATCAAGCTAATGAAAGTTCTGATGGTGGTTCTGAACACGAACATCATGGACACCATGGAGTGGTAACAGCATGGGGTGATCTTTATTTCCCGAAGGGATGTGGAGGAGGACGTCCAATTCAAGGTACTGGTCAATTAGGTGGGTCAGGTTCATCAGGATACCCAAGCTTTGTTGGAGTTGGTCAACCAGGACCAGCAGGCACACCTGGTATGAAATTATTTCTATAACAATTTATACATTTTGATAAATACATTATTATGATATACCAACTAATCATTTGATAATTATGTGATATTTCAATATTAAGAATATATACCTAGTGGAATTTTTTTTCAATTGCATAAATTAAGTAAAATTAATGATTTTTAACAATTCTAAAATTCGTATTACAATACAACAAATTAATGTATTTTTAACTTATATAAAATACAAGCGTTACAATGTACAAATATTTATAAAGATAACTTTATAGATGTACCAATTAATAATTATAATGTATTTAATTAAGGTCAACCAGGTACTCCAGGATTACCGGGAAGTCCATCTTCAGTTTATCCAAGTTATCCAGGTAAAAATATATTATGTTAAATTATTTTGGGGGAGGGGGCTCAGTTTTCTTAATCTTAGAAAAGTGACAGTGCTACCGTTAATCGACATTCGGTCAAACCTCGGTCACAATTGGTTATTTCTCTCTGAGCAGCCATTTTTTCTTAGAGAAAGAATCGCCATCGCCCCTTATGGTTGTATGCAACGGAAAACAGCCACATGCATATTATGTTCACAAGCTTGTATATTCCAATTACTTTTTTTCAGGTTCTCCAGGTTCTCCCGGTTCTCCAGGTTCCCCCGGTGCTCCAGGTAGCCCAGGACTACCCAGTTTACCATCTTATCAAAAACCAACAGTTTATCCAACATCCACTTATCCTGGGAGCTCAGGTTATTATGATTAATATAATATTTGATTCAGGAACCATACAAAATATCTATAATTCATATAACTTACAAAATTTGGAATCAATATTATGAACTAGATTATTTTTTAAATATAGTTCTGACAAATCACACTTTTCATGTACTGTCAACAATTTAATTGTATTTAATTTTAATATGTGGGTATGATTAGTAAATTTCATAAAATTCAATATTCAAAGTAATCAAGAAGTAATAATGCTTTTATTATTCATAAAAAACCCATGTCCTTAAGACGAAAATGTTTTTAAATGTTTTAGGTTCCCCAGGCTCTCCAGGCTCTCCAGGCTCTCCAGGCTCCCCAGGTTCACCCGGAACTCCAGGCTCACCAGGTTAATATTGTACAGTTTATTTATAAAATTAGTTTTGTAATTTAGAGAAATTCCTTCTGGCTCAAATGCTCAATAAATGCTAACGCTAAATAAATAAATGTTCACTTCTATTTTATAGGTAAGCCAGGATCTCCAGGATTTCCATCATATCAACAACCATCACCTTACCCCACTTCAACTTATCCAAGTGCACCCGGTAAATATATAAGAAAAACATTCATCTAAAATAAATAATTTTAACTTTATTTGAATTTTGAGTTTCTTGAATAAATTTCATGTTCTGTGTTTTATATATTATGTTCATTATTTAATATTTTAAAATATTGTCAGACAGCCACTCGTATTAAATTATTAAATCTATGTATTTCTATATTTACTTAGGCTCCTCGGGTTTACCAGGAACTCCAGGAACTCCAGGAACACCAGGTTGGTATTTTATGACTAATTTAACTACTATTATATATTTTTATTAATTTTACTACCTATCTGTTGTAAATGAAAAGAAAAATGTAGTCAATAGGCTTACAAAATTGTTTGATACAAATATTAAATTGTTTTTTTTATACACAACGTATTATTTAGAAAGTAACATTAAATTATGGTAAATATAACATATGATTTATTTTTTTATAGGAGCTCCAGGTATTCCAGGATCACCAGGATCGCCTTCATATAACAAACCATCTTCATACCCAGGTGGTCCAGGTAATTATATTGATAAAATTATAATTAGTTTCATATGAATAAATATTTAATTAAAAACAACTATTTTTCAATTTAAATTTAGGAACACCAGGGTTACCAGGCTCACCAGGATTACCAGGTATAAAATTTAATTTTTTTAAAAACAAATTTAATATTTAAAAGTGAATAAGTTATAACAAAAATAGGTATATGAATATGTTTGAATTTCTTTTGCAAATGTCTGCTTAGTAAAATATTAAATTATTAATTTATTTAGGAACACCAGGCCTATCCGGTTCCTACCAAAAACCAACACCGTACCCAGGAACATTATACCCAAGTGGACCAGGTATTTTGATATGCTTTATAAAAACTCATATAATATTTTCTTAAATACGTAATTCTTTATTTATACCAGGAGTACCAGGAACACCAGGCACTCCAGGAAACCCAGGAACACCAGGTATAATTAACTTATTTTCATTAGTTTTTTCTAATAATTGTTATAATATAATCGAGTTAAATAGGAATATAAATTTATTTATTTATAAGAACGCATATACGTGATTTAGTTCAGAGTTCGAAAATGTTTTTATAATATGTTTTTAATTTTGTAGGACAACCAGGAACCCCAGGATTACCAGGTTCTTCACCATACCCAATACCTTCATACCCTGTAGCTCCAGGTACACCAGGGTCTCCAGGTCGGTATTTTATGACATACTAATTTAACTACAATAATATATTTATATTAATTTTACTACCTATCTGTTGTAAATAAAAAGAAAAATGTATTGAATATTCTTACAATATTATTTGATAGTTTATTATTTAAAAAAAAAATTAAATTGTTGTTTGTATACACGATTAGTGATGATCGAAACAAGACCACGACAAAGATTTTAAAAATCTTGGTCTTGGTCTTGCAGACTCAGTCTTGGTCTTAAGCAAGACTCTTGCTATTTTCACAATATAAATATATAAAAAAAAAAAACTAAATACCTGTTATAGCTGTGTGTACGTTTTTTGCTATGATCTCTAAGAACTAAGAAGAAACTTAAGTCCAATATATTATATAGTATATAAATACCTAATTCAAACATTAACATAAAACAAGTAAAAAAATTAATTTTTATTATACTCGGTTAAACCTTTGCATTTTAAATTATGTTTATATTATTTTATTTGTATTTGTATTTGATGAATCGATTTACCAGTATAATTAACTTTCTAAGTTCCTATTACATTTATAATTAATATCAATAGGTTATTACTAATTAATAATTATTAATCAATATAATGTTTATAAAAATTAAATTGTGGTTTTTTAATGTTCACTTTAACAAATCATAATATTAAAAAAAAAAAACTGTATGGTTTGTTCCAAATATAAAATTGCTCAATAATTATTTTTGTTATAATAATAATATTTATTATTTATAATTAAACTTTTATTTTTATTTTATTCACAAGTCTCCAGTATAGTAGTACCTAGGTACTAAATATTAAAGTTTAATTTAATATAATATATTGGCCATAGGCCATCATATACATTTTTGGAAAATAAAGTAATTTTTAAGAAATTACTACCTAATTAGTATGAAACAATTATGTTATTTTGTAATATTAATTCCAATTATATCTTTTTTTCAATAATTTTTCATTTCCTCGAATACTGATCACATTTAATAACAATACAAATAATTTCTTATTATTTTCGTTATAAATTATTATTCAATAAAATCTAGATAGGTACACTAAAGTGTTTACGCGTTGAAAAAAATTTGAAAGATTGCAAGAGTTTAGTTTGAGCGATGGTCTTGTTTTGGTCTTGGTCTTGCAGCTTCGGTATTGTTTTGTTCTTGTTCTTGCAAGCCTCATTTTGGTCTTGGTATTGTAAGTCCAGTACCATCTTGGTCTTGGTCTTGAAGCAAGAGTCTTGCGAGACCGCAAGAACAAGACCAATTTTGACCATCACTATAACACAATGTATTATTTAGAAAGTAACATTAAATTATGGTCAATTTAACACATGATTATTTTTTTATAGGAGCTCCAGGAATTCCAGGATCACCAGGATCACCTTCATATAACAGACCATCTTCATACCCAGGTGGTCCTAGTAATTAGATTGATAAAACTATAATTAAAATCATATGAATAAATATTTAATTAAAAACAACTATTTTTCAATTTAAATTTAGGAACACCAGGGTCACCAGGGTCACCAGGGTCACCAGGATTACCAGGTATAAAATTTAATATTTTCAAAACAAATTTAATATTTAAAAGTGAATAAGTTATAACAAAAATAGGTATATGAATATGTTTGAATTTCTTTTTGCAAGTGTCTGCTTAATAAAATATTTAATTATCAATTTATTTAGGAACACCAGGTTCACCTTCATATAACAGACCATCTTTATACCCAAGTGGTCCAGGTAATTTGATTGATGCCACTATAATTAGTTTAATAAGAATAAAAATTGAATTTAAAACAACTATTTTTCAATTTAAATTTAGGAACACCAGGGTTACCAGGCTCACCAGGATTACCAGGTATAAAATTTAATTTTTTTAAAACAAATTTAATATTTAAAAGTGAATAAGTTATAACAAAAATAGGTATATGAATATGTTTGAATTTCTTTTTGAAAATGTCTGTTTAATAAAATATTAAATTATCAATTATTTTAGGAACACCAGGTTCACCTTCATATAACAGACCATCTTCATACCCAAGTGGTCCAGGTAATTTGATTGATAACACTATAATTAGTTTAATAAGAATAAATATTTAATTTAAAACAACTATTTTTCAATTTAAATTTAGGAACACCAGGATTACCAGGCTCACCAGGATTACCAGGTATAAAATTTAATATTTTTAGAAACAAATTTAATATTTAAAAGTAAATTAGTAAAAACAAAAATAGGAATATGAATATTTTTGAATTTATTTTTGTAAATGTTTGATTGATAAAATAATAAATTATCTATTTACTTAGGAACACCAGGCCTATCCGGTTCTTACCAAAAACCAACACCGTACCCAGGAACATTATACCCAAGTGGACCAGGTACTTTGATATGCTTATTAAACTCATATAATATTTACTTAAAAAATTAATTCTTAATTTGTTCAATGGTATATATATAGGTATATTATGTTTATTATTTAAAATTTTAAATATTGTAAAATAGCCACTCGTATTAAATTATTAAATGTAAGTATTTTTAATTTTACTTAGGATCGTCAGGTTCACCGGGAACACCAGGCACTCCAGGAAGTCCAGGAACACCAGGTATAAATAACTTATTTTCATTAGTTATTTCTAATAATTGTTATGATATAATTGAGTAAAATATAAATGTTAGTTTATAAATTTATTTATTTCTGTATAATAACGCATAGGTATGCGTGATTTTATTCAGAGTTCGAAATGTATTTATAATACTTATCTTTTTAATTTTGTAGGCCAACCGGGAACCCCAGGATTACCAGGGTCTTCACCATACCCAATACCTTCATACCCTGTAGCTCCAGGTACACCAGGGTCTCCAGGTTCTCCAGGCTCCCCTGGGCTACCAGGTAAATTAAACACATTTTTGTAAATAAAATACAACCTATATAGTGTAACGTGGTCAGATTGACGAAGTTTTACTTTATGACGAAGTAGTTCCTAATAGAAACATTATTTCTGAACTATCTATTAAGGGTTAACAATGTGCTAGTGTGTTCAAGATTTTTGAACTCTATAGGAGTTGAATTTTAGTCGGGGGGAATTTTAGAATTTAGTTTTCTTTTTTGATTTGGAGTAGGTATGTTGTATTAGTAGATTCTAAAATGTATACATATAATATGTACATTGTACAATGTGTGTTATATTAATGAGTAATTACTAATTACCAATATAATTAATAGGTACTTAATGTATTTATTAAGTTTACCTTTCTTTAGCAAAACGAAAGCTGTAACTAATTGGATGGTGTTTGGGAGAAAGGGTTCAAGTCCAAAATCATAGTTTTTCAATAAACGAAAAAAACATAATATATGGTACCCAATCCAAAAATATTCATGCCTTATATTGAATATAATTATTTTAAGTTATAATGATTGCAATTTTAAATTCTTTTAAGTAAAAAAGGAATTTCTTATTGTTTACATGGACTTATGCCCATGACACTTAAATTCTGAACATTTGCATGTGACTTGTGCCTTTGTTCACTAAAAGTTTGTGTGACTTGTGCCCTTGTTGCCCTTGTGCCCTGGTTTCTCACAACAAATTTTTTCCGTTATGACTTGAATCAAAACGCACTTGAAAATAAATTGATAACAAATGATCATGGATGCATTACAGTTTGACCAATCGATGCGGCACAACATTTCCTACAAAATCGACTATTTACATCAAAATGACCAAAAATGGACTTGAACCCTTTCTCCCAAACACCGTCCAATTGTTTGGATTAATTTATTTATTTTGTGGTTATATGATATATAAATGCTCTGCCAAACATAACGCTTTAAAGCGGTAAATGGCTCGTAGGGGTGGTGCATTCACGAGCGTGAATAACGCTGCGTTGTAACAAATTACAAAATCACGAGACGTGAAAATAACGCGTTCTGTTTGACAGAGCCTTAAATATTAATAAATACGTAACAACATAATTTGGTACAAGTTTTTAATTAATAACCAAACTACCAAGGTAACTTTAAAATTAATTAAAAATATCTAATTTTCAATTATTTGTTTAAAGGAAAACCAGGATCTTACGTTCCTCAATCTTCATACCCACAAACAGCTTATCCAGGTACCCCAGGTATAGAAAAATTTGTATTTAATTTTCTGAGAAATTTCAATATTACTTTCATAGAAAATATAATATCCATAGACTATGAATATTTTATTTTGTACATACGAATATTTTAACTCAATATAATGAGGTTTTATTTTTCTTACTAGGTCAACCAGGTCAACCAGGAACTCCAGGATTACCAGGTATATGTTTATATGAAAAAAGTGCTATCTATTAGTTATATATAACAAAATATATACAATGAATAAAATGCTTATAGATTATTAATATTGATCTTTTTGATAAAAACTTCGTAGGTAAACCAGGAGCATCAGTTATACCAAGTGTACTGTCATATGAAAAACCACAACCAACTTATCAAAAACCAAATGGAGGATACCCCGGAAGTCCAGGTAAATTTATATTTTTAATTAATATTATATTACATTAAATATTGTGTTAGAAATTAAAATGCCATTTTCATTTTTTTTTTTATAAAAATAACAACATGCACACTATGTCCTTAAGCTTGTGTATTCCAATAGCTTTTTACAATAATTAATTAAAACTTTTGTATACACTGGCCAAATAATAATAGTATTAACTTGACTTCAAATATTCTGTATCATTAAAATATATTAATTTTTTTGTTGCCCAGGTTCTCCAGGTTCTCCCGGTGCTCCAGGTAGCCCAGGACTACCCAGTTTACCATCTTATCAAAAACCAACAGTTTATCCAACATCCACTTATCCTGGGAGCTCAGGTTATTATGATTAATATAATATTTGATTTAGAAACCATACAAAATATCTAATTCATAAAACTTTCAATATTTGGAATCAATATTATGAACAAGATATTTTTTTAAATATAGTTCTGACAAATCACACTTTTCATGTACTGTCAACAATTTAATTGTATTTAATTTTAATATGTGGGTATGATTAGTAAATTTCATAAAATTCAATATTCAAAGTAATCAAGAAGTAATAATGTTTTATTTATCATACAAAAACGATATTCATAAGATGAAAATGTTTTTAAATGTTTTAGGTTCCCCAGGCTCTCCAGGCTCCCCAGGTTCACCCGGAACTCCAGGCTCACCAGGTAAATATTGTATAGGTTATTTATAAAATTAGTTTTGTAATGAGAAATTACTTCTGGCCCAATAAATGCTAACGCTAAATAAATTAATTTTTACTTCTATTTTATAGGTAAGCCAGGATCACCAGGATTTCCATCATATCAACAACCATCACCTTACCCCACTTCAACTTATCCAAGTGCACCAGGTAAATATATAAGAAAAACATTCATCTAAAATAAATAATTTTAACTTTATTTGAATTTTGAGTTTCTTGAATAAATTTCATGTTCTGTGTTTTATATATTATGTTCATTATTTAATATTTTAAATATTGTCAGACAACCACTCGTATTAAATTATTAAATCTATGTATTTTTATATTTACTTAGGGTCCTCGGGTTTACCAGGAACTCCAGGAACTCCAGGAACTCCAGGTTGGTATTTTATGACATACTAATTTAACTACTATTATAAATTTATATTAATTTTACTACCTATCTGTTTTAAATAAAAAGGAAAAACGTAGTAAATAGGCTTACAATACTATTTGATAGTTAATCATTTTTTAAAAATATTAAATGTTTGTTTTTATACAATACGTATTATTTAGAAAGTAACATTAAATTATAGTAAATATAATAAATTTTTTTTTTTTGTATAGGAGCTCCAGGAATCCCTGGTTCACCAGGATCACCTTCATATAACAGACCATCTTCATACCCAAGTGGTCCAGGTAATTTGATTGATAACACTATAATTAGTTTAATATGCATAAATATTTAATTAAAAACAACGAATTTTCAATTTAAATTTAGGAACACCAGGGTTACCAGGCTCACCAGGATTACCAGGTATAAAATTTAATATTTTTAAAAACAAATTTAATATTTAAAAGTGAATTAGTAATAACAAAAATATTTATATGAATATGTTTGAATTTCTTTTTGAAAATGTCTGTTTAATAAAATATTAAATTATCAATTATTTTAGGAACACCAGGTTCACCTTCATATAACAGACCATCTTCATACCCAAGTGGTCCAGGTAATTTGATTGATAACACTATAATTAGTTTAATAAGAATAAATATTTAATTTAAAACAACATTTTTCAATTTAAATTTAGGAACACCAGGATTACCAGGCTCCCCAGGATTACCAGGTATAAAATTTAATATTTTTAGAAACAAATTTAATATTTAAAAGTAAATTAGTAAAAACAAAAATAGGAATATGAATATTTTTGAATTTATTTTCGTAAATGTTTGATTGATAAAATAATAAATTATCTATTTATTTAGGAACACCAGGACTATCCGGTTCTTACCAAAAACCAACACCGTACCCAGAAACATTATATCCAAGTGGTCCAGGTACTTTGATATGCTTTATAAAAACTCATATAATATTTACTTAAAAACGTAATTCTTAATTTGTTCTATGTTTTATATATTATGTTTATTATTTAATATTTTAAATATTGTTAGACAACCACTCATATTAAATTATTAAATGTATGTATTTTTAATTTTACTTAGGATCGTCAGGTTCACCGGGAACACCAGGCACTCCAGGAACACCAGGTATAAATAACTTATATAACGCATATACGTGATTTAGTTCCGAGTTCGAAAATGTTTTTATAATATGTTTTTAATGTACTAGTTTTTAATTTTGTAGGCCAACCAGGAGCCCCAGGATTACCAGGTTCTTCACCATACCTAAAACCTTCATACCCTGTAGCTCCAGGTACACCAGGGTCTCCAGGTTCTCCAGGTTCTCCTGGTCTGCCAGGTAAATTAAACACATTTTTTGTAAATAATATACAACCAATGTAGTGTAACGTGGTCGCAGTAACGATGTTTTACGTTATGACGAGTGGTTCCTACTAGAAACATAATTATACTACACTGTCTATTAAGGCTTAACAATGTGCGAGTGTGTTGGGGATTTTTGAACTGTATAGGAGTTGAATTTTAATATGGGGGTTTTTTAGAGTTTGTTTTTTTTTAATTTGGAGTAGTTATGTTGTATTAGTAGATTCTACAATTTATACGTAAAATATGTAAAATGTAAGTTATACTAATTAGTAATGACAAATATTCGTAAATAATACTTAATGTATTCATTAAGTTTAACTTTCTTTACCAAATGCAAGTTGTAACTGATTGTGATTAAATTATTTATTTTTCTCATAGGTATAATATTATATATAATGGCTCTGTCAAACAGAACTGTTATAACGCTCGTTAAAGCGGTAAACGGCTCGTCGGGGTGGTGCATTCACAAGCGTGAATAACGCCGACTTGTAATAAATTACAAAATCACGGGACGTGAAAATAAGGCGTTATGTTTGACAGAGCCTTAAATATTAATAAATACGTAACAAAATTATATGGTACACGTTTTTAATTAATAACCAAACTACCAAGGTAACTTTAAAATTAATTAAAAATATCTAATTTTCAATTATTTGTTTAAAGGAAAACCAGGATCTTACGTTCCCCAATCTTCATACCCACAAACAGCTTATCCAGGTACCCCAGGTATAGAAAAATTTGTATTTAATTTTCTGAGAAATTTCAATATTACTTTCATAGAAAATATAATATCCATAGACTATAAATATTTTATTTTGTACATACGAATAATTATAAAATAATATTTTAACTCAATTAATGTAATCTTTTTTTATTTTTCTTATTAGGTCAACCAGGTCAACCAGGAACTCCAGGATTACCAGGTATATATTTATATGAAAAAAGTGCTATATATTATTTACATAACATATCTACTATGAATTAAATGCTTATAGATTATTAATATTGACCTTTTAAATACGTAACAACATAATTTGGTACAAGTTTTTAATTAATAACCAAACTACCAAGGTAACTTTAAAATTAATTAAAAATATCTAATTTTCAATTATTTGTTTAAAGGAAAACCAGGATCTTACGTTCCTCAATCTTCATACCCACAAACAGCTTATCCAGGTACCCCAGGTATAGAAAAATTTGTATTTAATTTTCTGAGAAATTTCAATATTACTTTCATAGTAAATATAATATCCATAGACTATGAATATTTTATTTTGTACATACGAATATTTTAACTCAATATAATGAGGTTTTATTTTTCTTACTAGGTCAACCAGGTCAACCAGGAACTCCAGGATTACCAGGTATATGTTTATATGAAAAAAGTGCTATCTATTAGTTATATATAACAAAATATATACAATGAATAAAATGCTTATAGATTATTAATATTGATCTTTTTGATAAAAACTTCGTAGGTAAACCAGGAGCATCAGTTATACCAAGTGTACCGTCATATGAAAAACCACAACCAACTTACCAAAACCCAACTGCAGGATACCCTGGAAGTCCAGGTAACTATAATATTTTTTATTAATATTGTATTACATTAAGTATTGTGTTTGAAATTAGATTAACTTTTTTAATTAATTTTTTTATAAAAATTTCATAAAAATTTTATTTATAATATATACATTCTAATAAGAAATAATATATTTTCAGGGCAACCAGGTACTCCAGGTTTACCAGGAACACCAGGATTACCAGGCACAATTTCATATCCAAAACCCACACCACCATCCGCATATCCCGTAGGACCAGGTAATGCAATAATAAATACGGAGACAAATTAGAATTAAAAATGGGTCCCTTAAATAAAGATTCATTTATCTAATCGAAATCGTAATACCTATATGGCTGATTATAATTATATTTTTTAAATAATAGAATATAATATGCAAATGAATGTTTAAATTTAAAATATTTCAAGCTTAAAATAATTGAAATATTTAAAGCATATTATTAAAAAATAATAATTATGACTACCTACTTAGTACAACGGTTTAAAATTTAATCAGCATATACAAATATCAGACTTTTAGGGGTTATGCAGTTTATTCATTTTTTTTTTTTTTTTTTAGATTAATTCATCTTATTTTAAGATTTGGAAAAAAAATATTAAATTAAATTAATATGATATAATATAGTAAAATATATTTGAAATAAATAGAAAATGTTTATGTACCCAATCAATACAATGTAATAGTATACTGATTTATTTATTTACTTATTTAAAAATATTTTTTAGGTCAATCAGGATACCCTGGATCTCCAGGACTTCCAGGTAAATTTATCAAACATAATATTATATAGTGGAAAATAACATCTCATCATCATTCATAAAATTAGTATAAAAATGAACGAAGATATATTTTATAAATTCTATCAATCACAATATTGCTATAAAAGAAATAATATTCATTAAATAAATATTCATTTATAAAAATAAGAAGTTCACAACATGATATGTTTATGAAAATATAATTACATTACAATTACCAAGTACCCACAGAAAAAAACAACTTATAATAACAAAACTATACATTTTGTTTTGGAAAATATTTAATGAAGAATATTTTAATAGTATAAAAAAATAAATATTAATTTTTAATATGAAAAATAATATTATTAACTTAACATTGCTCATTATTTTCAAATGATTTACTACATTGGTGATAAAGAAAAAATTACAATTCAAAAATTACACTAAATAATATACCTATCAGTTATTTTGTTCAAACTTTTTTTTATATAAATATTATTTTTATTTTTATAGGTCAACCAGGAACACCAGGCCTACCTGGGTCTGGATACCAACCTTCATATCAAAAGCCATCCTCCGTTAATCAATATGGAAATCCATCTCTGTATCCAGTATCTTCTTATCCCGGAAGTCAAGGTAAACAATATAAATTAATATGAATAAAACAATTTTAAAAAGAATAGGTACATTAAAATATAAGATTTTTCTTGTTTTTTTCAAAGATAATAATGTAATTTAACTCTTTTAGGATTACCCGGAACACCAGGATTACCAGGTACTTATTATTAATTAATAGTATGACAAAATGTACGAAATGCATTAATTAACGTTTTAAACAAATAACTTTACTGAAATCTATAGTTTAAATAATTAAGACAATAATTTTATTTTTTAATAAAGGTCAACCCGGTACACCTGGAACACCAGGCTCAGCTTATCCAGGTTCTACATTGAATCAAACACCTAATTATCAATCTGTTAAACCAAGTTCTTCATATCCAGGAAGTCCAGGTAAAAATATTTACATTTAATTAGTTATAATTTTAATCAACTAAAAATAAATAGAAATAATGAAATTAGATTAATTATAATATTATATATTTATTCACATTTTTTTATATTTCAGGTCAACCAGGCACTCCAGGATTACCAGGTAAATAACATTGTAATATACGGCTTAAAATTAAAAAAAAAACTTTAGTCCAATGCATTAAATTTAAAAACAAAACTGTATCTAACTTAAAAATGTACTTTCTGGAAGTATATTCTATATTAACGTAACCAGAATAGTAAGTTAGTTAAAAGTGCCTATTTGTCAAAAAATAAAATACAAAAACATCCACAATTTATCAAAAATACAGTGGGTCAAATAATATTTATTTTTGGTTTATTTTTTAATTCCATGTTTGTTTTACTCATGCAATTGATGATAATATCGCTTATCTTCCAATTGACATAGGTACAGGCACATATAGTCACGGTGGTATCTTAAATATATTGACATAACTACTGTTTTGTACCAATATCATTATATTATTATAGTATGATAAATAATAGATAAACACATTTGAATTTTTTTTAAATAAGTAGCATAAATTGTATGTTTAAGAAAACAGCTTTCTATACAGTATAGGTACTAAATTAATTTAAAATGTAAACTTGTTTATGAAAATATCACCTACTTGCCTATGTAATCTATACATGAAAATTACTAAAAATATCTTTTTTGATGTCATAATTTTTTATACATTTAATTTAAGTAAATGCGTATATTATCATATTCTTAAAAGTTTTAAATTATTTCTTAGCAAGAAAATATTTAACGATTACCTACTCAATATATTTGTTGCATAACAATTTGTGAAATATAATTGTAGGTCAACCAGGCACCCCAGGTATACCAAGCCAGCCATCTTATCAAAAACCAAATCCACCAACATACCCAGTTAAGCCAACATATCCTTCTCAACCATCATATTCTGGTTATCCCGGAAGCTCAGGTAAATATAAATATAAATTAAAAAAAAACTTATTGTACCTATTATAATTCTAAATAAGTACATATTTAAAACTAAAATTACTTCATTATGTTAAAGCAATTTCAAACGTTTAAATGTATTTTTTCATAACTGTGATTTTTCCTTCAGGTCAACCAGGAAAACCAGGTACTCCTGGTACTCCAGGTACACCAGGACTTCCCGCGGGCCCATCCTACCAAAAACCTACACCTCCTGCTGGATATCCAGGTTCTCCTGGTACACCAGGTACATTTAATATTAAATTTTGACCTACACAGGTTAGGTTAGGTTAGGTTTAAACAATTGCTTTAATTTATTCATCTATAATAAATCAAATATTATATATAATCTCACTACTTATAACTTGTTTTTAATTTTAGTTTTACTGAATTAGATACAATATTATACTAACTTGTTGTTAATATTTTAGGTCAACCAGGAACCCCTGGCCTCCCAGGTATTCCAGCTCAATCGTTTGGTCAAAATCCTCAAGCTTCAGTTGACTATGGAAAACCTAATCCATCAGGATATCCCGGTTCTGCAGGTAAAATTTATTATGAGTTATGACAAAGGTTTTTTTCGGATTTTGGTTATTAAGGTTCCAAATAAAAAATATATTTTATAGATTTTTAGAGTAATAATATTAGGTAAATAAATTAGCTAAGAATTTAAAATTTAAAATTCCATGTTAACAGTAACGTATAAATTTGCTTTGCAATACTAAGTATCAAAAACTGTATAATGGTTGAAAACTATGTAGTTAAAATATTTCATCATTGATAAGTTTTTGTTGAAGCTTTAGTTATGTAATATTCATAATTTATTTTTTTGTGTAATATGGTTGTGCTTTTGTTTAAGGTCAACCAGGTCTTCCCGGTCAACCAGGCACTCCAGGAACCCCAGGAACTCCAGGTTCTTATCCCACTTCACCAAAACCCAGCCCATCTCCCATAAATCCAGGCAGTGGAAGTGCATCAGGTGAATATTTAAACAACTAAATATTTTTTAAATTTATAATGAATCAACATTTTTTTAAGGTTATCCATCATCCATCGGTCAAACTCAAACAGGTTATCCAAACAAACCTATTCCTCAACCAACATACCCTGGACAAAGTTATGTTTACCCTACAAGCTATCCTCAAAGGCCGAATGTTCCTGACTACGGAGCACAGCAAACAAATGAATATCCTGGATATTTCAGTTCAGGTTACCCAGTACCCCCTCCACCCAACGCACCACTTCCTAATTATCCACCACCAAGTTCACCATCTGGTTACTCCAGTTACTTTGAATTGTACCCGGGTCAAAATCAAATATACCCCGGTCAACCAGATTTTAATGCATACCCAGCTGGTGACCAATATCCTTTCAACGGAAACGCTTATGGTAATCCTAAACAACAATTTACTTCCCCAGCAACAGAAAACAAAGGTAAAACACCTCAAATAACCACACCTGTTTCTACTCCAACATATGGTTATAAGAGTGAGTCTAGTCAAACTTCTGTGGAATACCCAGAAAAACCTAGTTTGATAGATGTACGCATTAATGTGCCAAATGAACCTGAATCTAACTATGGCCAAAAATCAGTAATTTTAGGTAAAAATGAATTATTAGGACCATCGTCAGGATCATCTGGACATTCCAGCTCACTTACTCCACAATACGTGAACAGTCCTACAAAGGCACCCAAATTACCATATCAATTTGGTCAAGAATCAAATCAAGTAGTCTTATCATCAAGCAAACCAGAAACCAGCACTCCATTCTATAGTGTATCCACTAAAACAGCATCGACACCTGAAAATACTAATTTAGTGGAATCAACTAGTACCATATCCTACGAAGACCAATTTAGTACTCTTTCACCGGATTCTTCGACGCCTGTCAATATAATTCCTTATCCACTGCCAATTGTGCCAAACCCAGGATCTTGTCCATGTTATTTTGTTCCACCAACAAGTAACAATTCTACCAATCAAATACAACAACAACAAACAACATTTGACTTGAATAATCTCCCGGAGGGTGCTGTTATTGGATTCGTGCCGGTAGTATTTTATCCATCATGTGGAGCAGGAAGTGCAGCATCAAAAGAAGTGCTATCATCTAAGTTAAATCCTGTTTTCCCGTCGGCTTATCAAGTACCATATAAATGTTCATATTGCGAACAAAGTGAATCACAAACCGCGAATATCAGAAGCAGTTTTAATCAAGTAGTAAAACAAAGTCAATTAAATCCATCCGTTGTAATTAAAAGTCCAAGTAGAAAGAATTACCCAAATGCCCCAATTTATGACCAACAAGAATTTGGAAGAAAGATAAAAGTTGTAAGAAGGAAAACTATAGATTAATAATATTGAAAATAATCAATACACATTTAAAGACTAAATAATACAAATTAGAAAACAAATAAATCGGCAACAGGATAAATATTATAACATTTCAATATTTTTTTATATTTGGACATACGGCTATACGATTACATCCATATTGTACTAAAATCAATTGACAATTATATTATACTATAAAATGTAATGCCACAAAAGCTCAGGTAATTTTATTTTTAGTTTAAGTTAATTTTATTGATTGTAATTCAAACTATAACGATATTTTTTTATTCAATTTTTTTTTTTAATAGGATCAATATGTACAATATATTATAATTAAATATTCGAAATTGAAAGTAATTGTGTGAATGTATAGTTTATTTTATTTCGCAGCAATTTTAATTGTACCATTTGGATTTAATGAAAATGTTGTATTACGTTTATTAATTTATACTGTCTGTTAATTATAACCCGTCCAGAAGTTACCAAACATTTACTGTCAATTTATAGATACTTTCGTAAGCCTAAATAAACCTATTGTTACGATAAAACTGTATATATTTATAAGATGGTAACTCCTGGATAGACGTTGATTGACAATTTTGATTTTCTCTTAATGAATATTTGTTTCTATGTGCCGTACCTAAATGTCAATTAAAAATAAATAAAGTATAAATAATTTGAATTGTAAAATTGTGTGTAACTTTTTTAGATTTAAAATGTTCCGTTGAAAAAGGCATTTCAAAAAGAAAAAATATATCGAAGCGATATAATATTGTTAATATATATGTATATATTAACTAAAAATAAAATAAATATTTTTATTTGAATTATTTAAAGAAAATAATATAATATTAAGATTGATAAAATAAGTTATAAAAATGGACTAATTTCTATATTTTTACTATGTACATAGTTTTGGTTTTGTAGTGTGTATTATTTTTGAATTAATATTTATTTATATGCATTAATTCCAAGTGATCCAAATTAAAATTTAAAATTTAGATATGCAGAATATGTTTCCAATAACGTTTTTAAATGTATGTTTTATTTAAAAAGCAGAATTAATTTATATATATTCCATTTCATGGAATACATGGCATATTTGTTATGACTTATGAGTTATCGATATATTTTTGGATAGACCAATTAGGAACATTTTTCAGTTTTAATGGATTTTGCACAAATTGACACACACTCAAATATTACCCTTCAACAAATGAGTCCCTATATATGTTTAGTTGTATGAATTCAATGGGTAAAACACATTCTACACATTCCTATACATTTTTCGTTAAAGTGAAGTGATGTTGAGACATTGAAAATATTGTCATAAGTATTACAAAAATATACATTCTATAGTAGTAGGCACTATAGTAGGTATATAGTTAATATTATTCACAGTTGAATTATTATACACATTATGATAATTTAAATTTACAAAGGTTTTGATGGATATTGTTATAATATATTATTGAGAATTACTTGGCTTCAGCAGCTTATGATCTGTTGAGTATAATAAAACGATCCTTCAAAATTAAAAAAAAAAAAACATAACATAATCTATAAGAGCTATGTTTGTTATAGAGAATAAAATGTTTAAAATCCATATATTATACCGTATATATATAGGTACCAGAGAAGAAAGGATTAACTATTGACTAAAGGATAATGTAAAATGTGTTTAACTATATTAGGTCATTGATAAAATATATAGGTATGCTTACGCATTATAATTTAAATAAAATTAGTAGAGACGGCTTAGAAATTGTAACAGTTATTGCCATTAAAGCCGTGGAACGAGCAAATGGTAATGTGAACTGTAAACTGTTCTACTTTATCTCTAAACTTAGTGGTGGTTTAGTTGGTATATGGATTAATGTACTATGTACCCTTACTGTGATATTATTATTTGTCCTTGAAATTAAATGCTTCTGGATAATTGAGGTGTCGGAAACATTCATTGGTGTAGGTATGTGTAATAATGTTATTTATTTATATTTTAAAATAATTTAATTATTTGTAAGACCGGTGATTACCTTGAATTCAATAACAGCGTGAATTGTTGATAAAATATTGTACTACAATATTTGTCACGTGTGAAAAAAAAATTAAATATTAAATTATGACAACAAAGCAAATAGGTAGCTTATTTCATTCATATAATCGTATAAATATTTTCGAATTAAATATCACTATTTATATACTAGGTATACGAAAAATAAGACAAAAGTTTCAATATTATTTTCAGACATATTCATAACTTTTATCACTCCCCCCTTCCCATCATTATACATGTACATTTTTGACTAGGAAAATTAATTTTATATAATGTTTTGTATGATAATAATTAAATTGGAAAGACAAACTAAAACCTAAACTACATTTTATTTTAATGCATCTACGTTAAATTTTACTAGGTATAATAATGTATCTTAGTGGTTTTTTCAAATTGAACATCGAAATCCTTTCATATTCTCCCTAAAAAGTATTAATTATCCGTCACTGAACATTACGCATTAAATTAGACAAATAAAAACTGCACATGCAATGAAACTTCCATATTATAGTCTCATGGGCAAAAAAAAAAATATTCGTATTATATTATAGAGAAATTCGTTAAATAGAATTAAATAGGTACATTTGGTTCTAATTTGCAGGTTTAGTTCTCAAAAATATTTTTTTGAAATGCATGTTCGTTATATTATGGAAGTTTCATACTATGGCCACTCCGTATGCCATGTGACTGAACATTTAATAATTTTTTTAAATAATTTTATATCAATTTAAAATTGTAAACTTTTAGGTAGGTCGTGGGTGTCATAAAGTAACATATGACCATATGGGTTGAAACTTGAATTCCAATAAAATTCCTATATGGTTGTATAGTATAGTTTAGGACATAATTACAACAAATTAAAATACGGTCTATTAGAGCTATATAGGTATAGTTTTAATATTTGATTACAGTAGACCTTTTTATAATGGAATCTCTCTGTACCAACTGATTTTTCCGTAATGTGGGAGTAGCGTTGTAGGGAGACAGCCGATATAAGGGATATAGGAAATGACGTTAATTTCTATTTTAAGGATATTTCAGTATTATAGGAGGTTCGTTATAAGGAGGTATTACTGTATATTACAGCTGATTATAAATAACGCTTTGATTGTATTTTAACGTCGACAAACATATAGTATCCTATGGTTATCACTGTTTTTAAAAAGAACAATCGTCTCACATCAATCACAATGTATAAACGGAAAATAAACTAAAATTAATTAAACAAACAAATAACCTTATTTTAAACAATTGAATAATTTAAAGCATTGATTGATTGATCAACCGAGGGGTCCGGACGTCGGTTAAACTGTGAATGGCAGGGTCCTATGACCTCGGATGACGAGAGTGGTGCTAAACTGTATAGAATTGATGCCTTTAGCTACTTGTATAATATAATAATGTATCTAAGAAAAATATTAATTTACGATAACTGATTTTGTGATAAAAAAACAAATGTTAGCAGTTTAGGTCATAGCTTCTATTGTAATGACACTCAACGTAAAATGTTTAAATGAAAAATGATTTAATTCATATTTCATAGAAACAGTTTTGTGAAAAATAATTATTATTAGTGAAATATGCTTTCACGAAGAATTCGTTAGTAGTAATATTTATCGGTATCGTTTATTCAGTTACAATAATGTGAAAGATTCATACAAAATCTCTCAAGTAGTGTAAACACGTATAATAACAATCCATATGCGAAAACAAATTATTTGTAAAGGTTATGTAAAACAATCTTTATTATAATAATATTAAGTTTTACTTTTTACATTGGAAAATATTGTGCACAGTACCTACATAATTATTGAAAATTTAAGTTATTTATGACTCAGATACATACATTTGTATAATATTTTAATGATCTTTATATTTTGTACATTATAGTTTCAGATTAATATTTTAAAATAATATTTTTCTTAATTAAGTTTCTATCAATTTTTGTTCGATGATTAATATAATAATATTGTGGGCGATTGTAAATTTTGATAATAAGTATATGATTGAGCATACGACACGATTGGGAACGTACTTTATCTGTACAAATATAAACTCGATTACCATTTATTTTTTTTTCGTTGTAAACTTGGGCCTGCAATTAGAGGGTAACGAAAATGTCAATTGTAAACTCGACCTGGTAATAGCGAGTTATAATTATAACTTCGATTGTAATCTCCGCTTCACAAATATACATTATTCAACTCATCTGAATATTATATTTCGTCATCAATAAATGATAACAAGATATACAAACAGAAATGTAAATTCCTGACCAAGCCATTGAAATATCAAAACTCAAAAACAAGTAACAATATAATATTTAGACGTAACACCGAATCAAAAACTATATAAAAAAAAAATATAAAAATTACAACCAGGCACCTATATCTTAATATTATTAAAATTAATCTGAGGAAACAACAGTTGTTATATGAATAATGAGAATATCGCCTCTTCTGTAACGCGTGGGTATAATACGCTAAATGATTTTCTCAATTATAAAAATAGACTAACTATTAAAAAAAAAAATCTCCTAGTTTATTTTTAAATATAGATAACTTATCGAAAACATCCTGGCAAATTTTGGAAACATATAATTTATGCTCGATATCAGCACGCGCAATAATAAAAATAAAATTTGTTTAGTGATTATAGGTATTGATCAGTCAACAACAATAAATACGTAATTATTTGTAATAATATTATACAAATTTAAAATAATATACAGCTTATTATAGTACTATAATATTATACTAGAATATAATGTTAGTATATTTATATATTCTGAAAGATTACTGTGGGAGGGAAGGGTCTAAAGATCCAGAACCCACCTCTCCTGAATTTTTTTAAAAATAAAAAAATGTAGGTAAGGTGTCATTATTGTTTATTGTATTAAAATAAATTTTATATTTTCGTTAAACCAGTATAATAATGAGAATAAAGAGTTTTTATATTTTAAACG